CGCGCCCACGCCCGCCGCCCGGCCGCCGCGCGGCGCTCCGCAGGCGTGACGTCACGGCGCCGCCTCGCCCACACGGCGCGAGGCTGCCCTCCGCCGGTATGACGTCATGGCCCCGCCCGCCGCACCGCCTGCCCTCCGCACGCGTCGTCGTGGCGCCTCCGGGCCCGCCCCGCGCCCGAGAGCCGTTACCCGCCCCTCGCGAGGACCGCCAGAGACCCCTGCCCGCCCTCCTCCATCACGCGTTCGTTCATCGACCCATTGATTCCATCATACAGCATGTGCTCAACGCAGACGCATGAAATGCGCCAGCTAGAAGTGACCTTCAAGATCCCTTCATCCGTTCAACAGATATTTAGGGAGCATCTGATCTGTACCAGGCACTGGTCCAGGTTCCCGAGATACATCAGGCAAAAGCCTGGCCCTCTCGGAGCTTACATCTGTGAATAACCAAGATGATTTCAGATAGTGACAATGTGCTATGAAAAAACATGCTTCATAATCTCCCGGGGGCATGTGAACTGCAGATTCCTGAGTCAACCCCAGACCTAAAAAGACAGGCTCTCTCCAGATAGCGTCCCCAAATCTGCATTTAATAAGGTACTTCTTATGCAGGCTACAATTTGAGAACAACCAGATTCTAAAGAAGTTTTAGCACAACCCCTCTTCTAGTCGCTCACTCCACACATATATATTAAGCACCTACTACATGCCTGGGGCTAGGGAAAACGTGGAGATGAAGCCCTGGCCTAATTCGCTGAGGCTCAGATCATGGTTTCTAAATATTTCCCCACCAAAAGGAACCAGGGTTTCATGAAGGAAAGGTCGATTCCAGGTCTGGGCAAAGAAAGTACAAGATGAGCCTAAAACATCTTGTTAGGCCAAGAAATAAAAAAAGTGTTTTAAAAAATAACGGGGATAGGTCAAAAGGACACAGGAGCTTGAAAGGCCAAATTAGGAACAATTTGCACATGTTAGACAAGCATCGGGAACAACTCAAATGTCCATCAACAGTAGAATGGATAAATTGTGACATAGTCATGCAATGGAATACTTACTACACAGCGATTATAAAAGGAATTACTGGTATATGTAACAACCTCAATGAATTTCAATCAGAATGAACAAAAGAAGCCAAATACAAAGGCAAGAGGTTGTATGGTTTCATTCATATACAGTTCAAGGACAAGCAAAACTAAACTATGGTGATAGAAGACAGAAAAGTGCTTAATTTGGGTCAGAGGGAGAGGTTTGAATGGGAATGGGCACACGAGTCCCCTCCAGAGTGCTGGAAACATATTGCTGTCAGTGATGGTTACACGATGGTATAGACATAGCATAAATAGATACAGGTGGATAGATAGATGGATAGATACATAGATAGATAGATACATAGATACATAGATAAGCAGGGCCTGCTTCATGGTCATGCAACCAGGGGAGTCATACAGGGTCCTGTGCTCAGAAGGATCAGAAGGGCCCTGCACTTGGGGTTTAATGCTCTGTGGTCACCGTCTTGAAATTCTTAATAATTTTATCTTTCAACGTGTGCTTTGTAAGTGACGTGTGATGGGGTAATGGAGCATGTGCTGAAAGCTTGGAGCCTCGGTTCACGAACGGTTCCACCCACTGCCACCTGCTCAGGACAAGTTCCTGACAGCCCATTCCTCTGTCCTCTAGTGTCCCAGCCCTGTCCGAGCTCTCTCCTGCCCCCCATCCAGTGACATGAGGCCTGGGCACCGGCGTGAAGAGGATCAGGTCCGACACTCACACCCCACAGCATCTCAGAGTGGAGGTGATCATAGCTATCCCTGTCATCTTTTTCCTAGACTGGCAGCACCGCAGGGCATTTGGTGGGTCAATCAGCAAAGGCGGGTCTCTCTCCCATCACCAATTCAGTCACCCATTTGTCTGGTTTGGAGGTCGCAATAACCTTGGGGCAGGCAGGTGGGAAGGGGCGATGCCTGGCTTGAGTTCCCCACTCCCGGCCAGGGCATGATGTGTGGGTCCTGCAGCTGACAAGGAGGAAACAGGCAGCTGATGGGCCGTTTTTGGATTCGCGGAGTGGGTCCCCCAGAGCATGGGGAGGGTCTGCAGGTGCCCTAAGACCCTATCCCAGTGTTGGAGAGAGTGACATTACGTAGCAAACAAAAAACACCATGACAGGTTGGGAGCGCGATGGCAGAGGAAAGGGGAAAGCTTCATCTTTTAGTTCCTTTAATGGCATTTTTTCCTGTCTTTTGAACAAGAGGCCCTACGTTTTAATCTTGCACTGAGACCCACAAATTCTGTCCTATATAGATGTCTATGTAAAAAAAACTATTGTGGCATATATACACTTAAGATTTGTATGTGGGTGTTATACCCAAATAACAATTTGCTGTGTGTGTATATGTATGCATTTATATCTAAATAAAAATATTTTGAATGGGAATATTATTAAATGATACAGAAAAGGAATGGTGAGAAAAAAGAACCCATGATTCCATACTGAAACTAAGAAAAGCAAATTAATGAATAAACAAACGGATGAATGAATGAATGAGGAGAAAAGAGAAAGCTCATCTTTCCAGTAAAATAGCAACTAATAAGTATAGAAAGAATCATGTGGTTATAAAATCACTATTTTGTAGTCATCATAATAATTAATCAGATAGGCATATTATTCAAAGCTAAAGCTGTCATTAGGTAAAGATTTGTTGAATAAAAAAATATCTTTCCAGTCTCAGTGCATTTACCCACAGATTACTTATTAATCAGAAAGAAAAAGGGGTAACTTTTCAGTGGAGAAATCTGTCAGGCACTATCTTAATCAAGTGATCAAAATAAACATCACCAACAACATAACAAATTAACACCTTGTGCGTCCGACCTTGTGGTGTACTGAGAAGGACACAGAATCGCTTATGTGGTTCTTCTACCAAAAGTTCATATCCTGAGTCTAATAATTAGGACAGAATATAAAACCTAAACCAAGGGACAGTCTATAAAACAACTAGCCTGTACTCTTCAAACATGTCAATGTTATAAAAACAAACAACAAAAAACAACTGAAAGCATTATTCTACATTAAAGAATAGTAAAGAGATTTGACAAACTAAATCAATGTGCTTGGATTGAATACCGGATCGTGAAAAAAAAAAGCCATAAAGGATGTTACTAGGACAATTTGCAACATATAAATATAGACTCTATATTAGCTAATAATATTAATTTTAAATTTCATGAATTTTAAACTGTACTATGGTTATGTAAAAGCATGTTCTTTTTCTTGGAAGGTACATGCTGAAGTGTTTGGGGGTATAGAGTCATGTCTGTAACTTTCAAATGGTTCTAGAAAAACCCCAATGTGAGTGCATGGGTATATACACATTGAGAGAGGGAGAAAGGAGATGTGGCCAGTGCCACAATGGGTGAATGTAGGTGGTGACATATGTTCATTGTTGTATTCATTTTCTATTGCTGCTATGACAACTTATTATCTCACAGTTCTGATCGTCGGAAGTCTAATGCAGGCATCACCAGGCTAAAATCAAGTGTCAGCAAAGCTGCAATCCTTTCTGGAGGCTCTCGGGATGAATCCATTTCCATGCCTTTTCCAGCCTCGAGCTGCCCACATTCCTTGGCTGTGGCCACTTCCTCCATCTTCAAAGCCAACAACGGCAGGTCTAGTCTTTCTCACATCATGTCACTCTGACACTTACTCTTCTTTCACTTTTAAAGACCCTGCTATTGCATCGGCCTACCCAATAATCCAGGGTCATTTCCCCATTTTAAGGTCAGCTGATTAGCAGCCTTAATTCCCTTTGACATGTAACATAAATGGATAGGGAGCCCAGAAATAGACACACACACACACACACACACACACACACACACACACACACACACACACACATATATATATATATATATATATATATATATGATTGATTTTTTTTTTTACTAAGGTATCCTTAAAAGAGCAGAAAACAGAAGCTTCTTATGAACCAAAACTGTCCACCAAGGCCTGGTCTGCCCCGTGGGTAGTGAACACTCCACCTCTGGAGGTGTGTATAAGGCTGGATAGCCTGACCTGAAGAGACTCTTCCTAAATAAGGGGAAACCGGAACCTCTCTGCTCTCCGACGTCCCTGAGGCTGCTATGGCGGCGTGGAAGCGGCCGCGGGTCGCTGTCCGCGGTGCTGAACGTTCACAGCTCACCGGAACCTACTGCCTGCCCTTCCCATCTGTGACTCTGGGAAGCCGCAACTCCCGGTGGCCCTGTTTCCGCTTTGTTTTATGTTCTGTCTCGATGCATATTTTCCTATTTATATGTATTATCAAAATTTTAAGGCTAGGCACTGTTTATTACAGAAATGTCAAACATATATAAAATTAGAGAGACTAGTATAATGAACTCCTATGTATTCACCACCCAGGGTCAACTGTTATCAGTTCCTGTTTCATCATCTCTCATCCACCTCTCCCCACCCCCGGATTATATTGAAGCAAATCTCACGTATTATGTCATTTCATTCGTGAACATTTCAGTCTGATCTCTAAAAGAATTGAAAACTTATTCTCAATGCAGTACCACAACTAAAAAAATAATGATTATTCCTTAATATCACCAAACATGTCGTTAGTGTACACAATCAGATTGATGGGTGGGATGCAAAGCTCAGAGGGGTGGAGGCATGTGCCTGGGAATGCCTGGTGTGGCCAGGGCTTAGTGCTGGGACACAGGTTGCCCCACTAGCGTCACGTGATCCCAGCCACAGATTGGCACCTACCAGCCTGCTTGACACAGATAGCATTAAGCAAGTCTGAGGCACAATGTGCTGGCTCAAGCAGGTGGTCACACCCACAGGGTGGCCCCTGGGGACAGGCTCCAACCGCACTCCTGCCCAGGCAGGTCAAAGTCAAGATCAATGACATCAGAATCTCTGCAGAAGAACCCCAAGCGTTCGTTTTTCTACCCAGAACTCTAGTGTGCAGGCAGGGTGGAACCAGAGCTTGATCTAGGCTTCAATGCTATCTCCATAACCAACTGGCTGTGTGACCTGGAATAAGGCACTTCACCCCTCTGAGCCTCAGATTCCTTGTCAGTTTAACTTACCATGGGCCACCCCTCACCTGGCTTTGCACCTGCAGCCGCCCCTCCTGGAATGACTTTCTGTCAAACCAGGTTCTAGGCTTCCATAAAGACCCAGTCCAGAGACCCATTTCTCTGTGGCTAATCCCCTCCTGGAATCACTTCTCCTTCCTCTGACCATGTGGTATTAATTGACCATGCTATGAGCTCATAGCAGAGCTGGACACCCCTTAGAAGCCAGCTGGTTTAACTCATGATTTCAAAGACAAGGAAATGAGGGATTGATCGAGGAAAGAACTTGCCCAGTAGCATACAGAAGGTGCACAGTGAAGCCGTGATGGTGGAGGCGTCGTTCTGCTGCCTGCAGCACCATCTTGGGCGCTCCCAGCTCTACCACTTACCAATGAACATAACCTCTTTGTCCCTCAGTTTCCTCACCTGTAAATTGAGGAGAATAATGCCTACTTCCCAAGGTTGCTGTGAGAATTCAGACAGATGAATTCACCTTCAAAGTGACGTACGTGCACTTGGGAGGGTTACAGTCCCTATTACCACCACAGAAACACCAATAAAGGCATGTGACCTTCTCAGAGCAGGGATCTGCCTCAGGCATGAGGACACTCAGCAGACAATTGGAACTCAGAAATCCAGGCTGGGGGGCTTGCAGCCAGCACAAGGAATGTGGTTTAAATATGGGAGTCACAGCTGTGCCAGGGCTCTAGGACCCAAAGAGGTCCTTGGCTGGGACACCGAGAGAAAGAGGGTGGGGGATGCATGACTTCAGCACAACTGATGGGAAGCCATGGTGCACAGTCCAAAGAGGGCTCTGATGTCACGGGTTCGGGCCCCGACCACAGCTCCCCTGAGTTTTGTATGGACTATCCCCCAGTCAGGGGCAGTGTGAGGCTCAAAGGAGGCCCAGTGGTCCTCCTCGTCTGGTGTCTAACACAGAGCAGGAATGTAGATAATACATTTTCACGCCCACTCCCCCTTTCGAGCAGTAATCCCTGCTGTCTGATGCAGTCTGCAAGGAGCGGTAAATTTTCCCAAGTACATACTCCCTGAGGTACCATATGTGTTATTGCCTTCATTCTACACAGGGGGAAACTGAGGCTCTGAGAGGTGAGGGGATTAATACTGAGTTGCAGGTCCCCTGAGTTCAGGTCAGCCTGAATTCAGAGTCAAGGCCAGGATCCCGCCTCTGCTCTGTAACACCTCAGAGCTCTGTGTTAGGAGGATATATAGGTGACAAGTCAAGGAACTCTGACCTGGACCAGTTCCTGGCCTGTCTGCTTTGTCAGCTGAGCCATCTAAGCATTTCTTTTTTTCTTTTTCTTTTTTTATTGGGGAATTGAGTGGATGGGAACAGTGCTGGGAAATTGGGGGAAGGGGAACAGACAAGTTGCTGTCGTTTTGTTCTTCAGTCTAGTTGTGGAGGACGTTGCTTCACTGGCCCAAGTTGGCACCATCATTGCGCTCTTCCCGGGCGAGGCACATCAGTTGCCGGCTTCTGGATGGCCACTCACTGCGGCTGCTGGCCGCTCACGCTGGCTGCTGTCTACATACGGTAGCCCATGGCAACCCACTGCCACAGGGACTGCAGCCTACGCCGTCGCCAGTGACTTAAGCGTTTCTTAAGGGCTTGGTCAGGAGCACAGAGTGAGTTCTGCTCTGAGGACAGGAAGACAAGTGACTCCCAGGAGAGGCCAGCGGAGGTCTGGTGTCCCAGCATCCTTTCTGGGATGGGGAGACATGAAGAGGACTGGGGAGGGAGGGATTAGAGGCACTGCCACACCATCAACCTTCCTGTGGCATCCAGGGATTTTGGGCTCCCCAACAGAAGCACATGCAGCTGGAATTCTGAAAAGATTTTAATCCCTTTCATCTCTCCCTCCCCACACCCTCCCATCTCTAGCCAGGGGCTCCCACTGGATGGACCCAGTAGGAAGTCACAGATCAAGGTTGCTGGAGTGAGGCCAACCATGGGGTCACCCCCAAGGGCTGGTGCAGGACAGAGAAAGTCAGAGAAAGTGTTCGAGGGGAGGCACGCCACCCCATCACTTCCAGTTGCTCCCCAGTCTCTGATATGAGCACATTCTCCATCTTCTGTAAACAGATCTACAAGAGTGCCGGAGCCCCTCTTCTCAGCAGATGCTGCCCCCAAGTCCCCCATTTGGAAATTCCAGAACCAAGATGTGTGTCTCAGCTCCTGTCTTCCTTTTTCCCTTTGATGAGACAGGGGCAGGCGACCTAGGACTCAGGCACAATGACCTAGGACATACCAACAGGCCGGGCCTCTCCCCCAAAAGAAGCACCCGGACCCCAGGGAACTGGCTCTACGGAGCAGGGGCTCCAGAGGGGCCGGCGGGGCCTCCCTGGCTCCTGAGGGCCAACTGCCCACACAGTCTGGGACAAGAGTCTGAGAGGAAAAAAGGGGGTCTGTCCCCTCAGTCCTCCACTCAGCCAACAACTCCAGTGCCCACCCTGGGCGAATGGCTGGGCTCCGAGCTCCGGAAGGCGAGTCACATCCAGGCCTTACTCAGGGGGCAAAAGTGAGCACACAGGACACGTCTGGGCCAGTCGCTGGGCTGGCCCAGTTTGGTGGCCCTCAGGACTGATGGGCAGGGCAGGCCTGGGTTTCTTGGCCAAATGCGAAGGACGGGCTGTCTTGGGCTGAAGGGGGCTGGTGACCAACAGGCTGCAGAGGAAGTGGGATCCAACCAGTGCAGGCTGTCAGAGCCTGGGGCTGGGTGACGGGCAGGGGGAAGCCCTGTGGTGGCAGCCTGGCACTCAGGGAGCCCTGGCTCACGCTTCTCCCAAATCCTGCAATGAGGAAGGACCTGGGCCCTTATTCTGGCTGAGCTGGGAGTGACGGAAAGGTTCCCGGGGTGGCCCCTCCCTGGGAGCCCTGTGCCAGTTTCCTTGGTAAACAAATGGCTGTTGAGTGGGTGTGGGGGGACTGTGGGGTCTCCAGCCAGTAGGGAGGGCAGGTGGGGGAGAGACAGGCAGCCCCAACCCAGACCCCAAACAGGGCATGTGGGGACATCTGGAAGGATGGCAGAAGGACTGGCAGGGATCTGGCAGAGTGGGAGCTGGCTGTCCTCTGTGAGCTCCGGCTCTGTGTGTGCAGGGGGAGTGATGACTGCCCCCAGCAGGCCCTGCAGACTCATCGATGTGACTGGTCAGTACCGACATCCAGGTCCAGCACGGGTCTAACCCACAGCGGTGACCAAACACATGTGCAGGGGGCTGCACAGGGGCATGGACAGTGGGACTCGGATGATGTGGACTGCCTGCCTGGGGGCCAGAGAAACAGATGCTGCCTCCCCCATCCAGCACGGCCGCTCCTGCCGACCTCATCTGACCAGCCCGACAAGCTGGTCCTTCGTTTTGACGTAGGCCTCGAAGGCCAATGTCCTCATCGTGCCCTGCATCCAGCACAAGTCAGCCGGCACATCGGGCAGCCACGCCACCAGCCTGCAGGAAGAGGCAGTAGCAGTTCACTGGGCCAAGCCTGAGCGTCAGCCGGCTGAGACCACCTTCCCCGCAGGGCCAAGGCAGAGCTGGGGTCCCTGCACCGGAGGCACCAGGGCTAAAGGAAGGGTAATGGGGGTAAGAAGCCCCCAGCAATGTTGTCTCCACCGCAGAGCAGGCCAGACCCACGGGGCAGCGGCAGGGGAGTGAGGGGTTGGGGGAATGAACCACGATAGACTCTGAACTTGGTGGAGGCGGCCAGGCCCTGAGGGTCGACTCCACAGGGAACACATGAGGAGCCCAGGGGAAGGAAAGGGAAGGGCTTCGGGGCCAGGCTAGCTCCCCTGCTCATCAGCCGTGTGGCCTGGGCAGGTCAGGGAACCTCTGTGGGCCTCGCTTTCCTCACCTGCCCAAGGAGAACAGCCACCCTGCCTACATCTCCATCCCTTCCTCTCTCTCCTCCCCAGACCAGCCCCTGTCCCCCACACTTCACACCCCTGCATCCACTCTCCTCCCAGCAGCCAGTGACCTTGAAACATAGAGCCCACAATAGCCCTTTCTGACTCAAACCCTCCTGTGCTCCCCACATGGGCCCCGCAGTGTCAGCAGAGGGCCAGGTCATACAACTATGGCTGCGAAGCTGCCTGGCCAGGCAGCATCTCTAACTCACTTGACACTGCAGGCCTCATCCCCAACGTATTACCCTTGGAGTGGCCTCTAAACCAGGCCCTCAAACTGGGCAGACAGTCCACAGAGTGCCGTATGACAAGCCAAACATAAGCTGGACTATCACCTCCCTCATTCTGGACCTTCTGCCTCTATTATTACAACCTAGATATTGAGCATGTACAGAACATACCAAGTATGAATTTCCCTGTGGTCTGGGCAGGGCTCCCTATCAGTGCTCATACATGGATTAATTGATTTATAATTTGGTAATTGAAAAGGCTAGAATTTGCCTTTACCCTTTTTTATTTCAACTTGTGGTTTCAGTCTAATAGCTCAGCACGAGGAGAAGCTGTGCCAGCAGAAAGCTCCCTCCCAGCTTTCAGTCACCAGCAATTCAAACAGCAGGGGCTGGTCCAGTCATTAGCTCAACATGGAACAAAGGCCTGTGACCCACTACGTAGACCTTCTTCTGGGGCATAGAGAATTGTTTAAAATGCAGATCTCCCTGTGCCACTTTCCTGTTGAAACCCTTCATTGCCTTCCCCCCACTGTCAGGACAAAGTCCATACCTCACACATGGCCAGAGAGCCCTGTGTGTCTACCCCTGCCGACCTGCCCCACCTTGTACAGCACTCCACTTTTTGGCTTCAGACACACTGGCCTCCCTTTCTGCTCCTAAGATGAGCCTTCTGCCCCAGGACCTTTGCACATGCTCTTCCATCCATCTGGAAGGTTTTACTCGTCCCTCTTTGCTTAGTGGACTCTTACCCATCCTTCGGATTATAGCTCATAAGTTACCTCCTCTAGGCAGCCTTCCCTGACTAGACAGCCCCTAATATGAGCCATCCCAGTTCATAGCCAGTGGAGATCTCTCTGGGTATCTCTAGGCAGAGCTGTGATTAAACAGGTGAGTGTGTGATGATTTGTGGGTTGTTGGGCTGCACAAGGCCAGGGACTGGGTCTAGGTCAATGCAGCCTCCCTAGCCCTTAGTCAGTCAGGGCTTGGTCCCTAGCAGGCCCTCAATAACGATTGGAATAAATGAACAAACCATCAGGAGTGGTCCATTAGTCAGCAGCTAGAATGGTTAGTGGGGGCTTAACCACAGTCAGTCTGCCATGGGACAGCCTTGTTTTATAGAAAAGGAATCCGAGGCGCAGAGAGGTTAAGAGACCTGGCCCAGGCCACAGAGCAAATCTGAGCCAGACCAGTCCCTAGAGTTATCTTCAAAAATAGCATGTGGTCTCTGAGGCTCTGACAGGTGGAGCAATGGGCCAGAGGTCCTAGAGACAAGGGAGGGGCTGGGCACTGACCAGGAGGCCCCCGCTTGATTACAGCTGCCATCCTGCCTCCCCATCAATCTGGTTCTGCAGAGACCACCAGGACCCCTCAGCAAATTGCTGCTGACACTAGGCAGCATGGGGAGACGAGCTGCCCTTCCTGCCATGAGCACTGATCTCGGCCACAACCCTGGTGGCAAGCCAGGCCCTTCCCATGACCCCTGGCCGGGCCTCACCTTCTGCTCCGGAAGTAGATGTACTCGAAGGGCAGCGTGTAGGGCAGCAGTAGGTACGTCAATGCCCGCCCGGGCATCGACCGGCGGAAGCGGGCCCAGGGGCTGGGGTCCCTCATACATGCTTTCTTCAGTACTACAAGAGAAGCCATGGTGTCCCACCTGCCCCTCCAGCCAGCCCCTTCCATGTCCCCTGGAGGGCAGGTAGCATCACCTCCTCTCTACCTCATAGTCCACAGACTACACCCACCCCCATCTGCAGAGGAAGAAACAGCATTGATCAAGCCCCTCCCATGAGCCAGCAGGTGGCTGGGCCCTCAGCTCATGCTGTCATTATTGTCCCTGAAATGGGCAGGGTGAGCCCCTTTCACAGAAGGGGAGACTGAGGTTCAGAGTGGACCAGTGACTTGCCCAAAACCCATCGCCAGGAAGTGGCAGGGCCAGGATGGACCCAAGGCCTGTCAGGCTTCCCAAGCGCTTTCCGCCTCTCCTACCCCTCTGGAAAGTCTGCTGTGGCCCCCCAGGATGGGGTATGTGCCCACACCACACCTCGCTCGATAACAGCAACACATTGGTATATTATTATCAACCACAGCAGCGGCAGCTGCTAGGACCACAACGACCATTTTCAAAGCCCTCTGTCCTCTGCACTGACCAGAGTGGAAGGAGCCAGCATCCAGGCCAGGGCAGAGCCAGGCCCCAAATCCCTGCCCCCAGACCACAGCGCAGCCACGCAAACACCACCATCCAGATTCTGCCCAGCGCCCCTAGAGACACACGCTGGGAGGGTTCACCGACAGCACAGCTCAAAGACCCAACCCCCGTTTACCTGCCATGGGTCCTGGGACACATCCCTTCCCTTCCCCAAGCCTAGGTAATGTGGGGATACCGCAGGACCTACCTCCCTGGGCAAGTAGGTGAGGGTTAATGGATGTCTGTAAGGGCCAGGCCAGATGACAATTCCCTTCCCAGCCGGCTGGCCGTGATGGCTGCAGTACTGGCCCTGCCCCTAGGGGCAGCTCTCTGGTGCCCCCATGTGGCTGCAGGGATGCTGCCAGGGTTCCAGAAAGCTTGGACCTCAGGGCTCAGTCCATTTGTGCTCACCCTGCGTGGTCCGCAGTGCTGAAAGAGGTGCGCTCCTCATCCCCCATTCCCTCAGCCACCTCACTGTCCCTGCTCTGGTCTCACCACCATCATCTCTCCTCCCAGCCTCCTGCCTCTGCCGCTTGTCCCCTCCCAGCGAGTTGCAATAACCCCTGCAGTTCAGAGCTGCAGTGAATTCGGAAGTACCTGCCCCCACCCCACAGTGGCCCCATTTCTCTCCTCCAGGCTACGTGCCCAACCTTCCCAGCCCCCCTCAGCTCATCTCTGCTACCCTGCCCCTCAACCCCTGTGTTAAGCTCCAGGGCCTCCAGCTCTTCCCCGCTCCAGCCCACCCCAGGACATCTGCACATGCTGTGCCCTCGGCCTTGTCTGCCCCTCTTTGCCTGGCCATCTCCTCCCTTCATGCCTCACCGAGATGCTGCTCTAACTTACCCCCCACCAGCACCATGACAATGTGTCTGTGGGACCCTGCACTTTCCTGCTATTGCAACTGTGACATTTAGGGCACTGAGCAGGAGAGCAGGCTAAATGGTTCAGAGCAGTACGGTGGTTCTGCCATTTGCTAGCGATGGGACCTTGGGTAAGTCACTTAAAACCTCTCTGTGCTATGGTTTCCTCGTCTGTACAATGGGGACAATTCAGTACCACACTCAGAGTATTGGTGAAAGGATGAAATGAGTCCAGACCCTCCAGACATGTCCGTCCTGTGCCCCTCACTGCCTCCCGCCCTTTCCTGGACAGTGGGCACAAAGACCTGGCTTTCTCAGGCACAAGCTTGGCTTCGAATCCCCCAGCTGCGGGCTTTGAGGCCTTCCCCTCTCTGAGATTCAGTTTTGTCATCAGTGAAATGGGGTAAGAAACTCACTTAGGTCCAGTGTTGTGGTGAGGAGCGAATGGCACAACATGTAAAAACCCCTGGCACCATGCCTGGCACTTAGTAGGTGCTCAAAAAAGAAAGAGTTCTGTCCTCTACCAGACAATGAGCACCTTCAGGGCAGGATCCCAGCCCCTGGCCCCTGTGTGCAGGGCACCTGCTAGGTGAGCAAATACAGGTAGGAAAGGGCGGTACCAGCATCCAGCTCTGGCGAGACCTTCTCAAAGTTGGGCACGTCCTTGACCACCACGTTGGGTATTTCCCAGTTGAGCGACAGGCCTGCCTCTTGGCCTGGGACATGAACAGCATCCCAGGTCCCGTCAACTGGGGCTGGGGGCTCCTTGGACACCAATGTCCACAGCACCGGCTCCTTGGTGAGTCCTGGGTGAGGAAACAGGCGGGATATTACAGGTCAGCACATTTGGAGCCTCCCGGTGACAATGACTTCCCCGGCTCTCACACTATCCATACCATCCACGTCCCTCAAGGCAGAAACCCAGCTTTGAGGACCTGCTTGTCCCATGATGGACCCATGGCTGGTCCTGGACGATACCTTCCTGCATGGCCCTGGCCCTGGTCTGCTCCCTGTTTCCCAGTGGTTAATCAGGGCCCTGAGGACCGTCCCGGGTTCAAATCCTGCCTCTACCACATGCAAGCTATGTAACCTAATGGCTCCGTGCCTCAGTTTCCCTCTCTGTGAAAGCAGAAAATCAAGACCTGCTCGATATGGTCGCTCTGAAAATTGGATAAGTCTCAGGCCCAGGTCTGGGCACGTGGTAAATGCTCAGCAAACGCTTCCTGCTGCTGTGTGTTTTTGGGGGGGCGTCGAGGACATGAGTCCTGGGGCCACACAACCTGAGTTCGCCTCTCAGCTCTACCACTTTGAAGAGCATCACCCTGTAGGATGACATCCAAGCTCTAGCCCAGACCTCGGTGGCCCACCTGCTGCCCCAGGAACACGCACACGCACATACACACACATGCACACACGTACACACACACGCACATGCGTGCACACACACGCGCACACGCACACCTGCAGCCATGCTGTATGTGCCCTCAAGGTGCCAGCCTCTGTTCCTTTGCTCTTGCTCTCCTCCCCTCTGCCAGAACACCCTTTCCAACCTTTCCATCATCTGCCTAACTAGTCAAAACCCAGCTATCTGTTGCTGTCTCCAGGGAGCCTTCCTTGTCCTCTCCACCCTCCCAGGCTGAGCCAAGGGCCTCCTCTGGGCTCCACAGCCCTGAGCGTCCCTGCCTCTCCCTGAGGGGATATCTCTCTCTGGGCCTCTTCCCCTGCAGGCCGTGGGCAGCTCGAAAGCAGGACACACGTGTGCTTCCTCACTGGGTCCCCAGCTTCCAGCTTAGGCCAAGCACTGAACAGATGGCTAAGGGAGGGAATGAGTGAGTCGAGGTCCAGAAAACCTCAAATGCCCAAGAGGCAGGGTCCACCTGGCACTCACATGGGGTGAGGTCCCCGCTACCGTAGGGGCTGCCACCTACCGCGTCTCTCCAGGAACCGCAGGGCATCCAGGTAGCCTTGTCTGCAGATGTCGGCCACCACCTGCCAACACACAGGTCAGGGTGGGATGAAGAAGGCTTGGATCTCCCCTCAAGCTGGTGGTCACAGGCCAGAGACTTGTCTTCAACTGCCAGTGAGCCCAGCCCAGCCTATGCTCCCCCAGAGACCCCTCAGCAGGGCTCAAGATCCTTGGGGGGCCCCAGCGCAGGGTAGGGAGGGCCACAGGACCACAGATGGAACACATCTGTTCGAGCCACTTCCTTCCCCACAGCCTCATTTCACTTCTCTCTTCTAAGACTCCCTGGCTGGGGGTGCTTGCTCCAGCCCCTCCCCCCACTGGCCTCCATTCCCTCCTCGGGGCCCAGGATGCCTGGGACATTGCCTGGCTCCCTGTAGGTCCCTTTGCCTGTTTGATGTTCACTTCCAGGACCCGCCTGAGATGGCAGGGGAGCCCCGGGGCCCACGCCTGCCTGTCTCAGTCAGGGCCCCACCAGCGAGGAAAAGGCACCTGTAGGTCCAGAGAGGCGCTCTGGCTCCCCTTGCTGTGTGACCTGGGACGGCCACACCGCCTTTCTGAGAGCCTTGGTTTCCTTGTCCGTAAATGGGGCTGAGACTTTCTGTCCACCCCAGGGCTGCAGGGAGGGTCAGAGGCAATGAACATGACCTTGTTTCATAAATTATAAAACATTACAGAATCACAAGAGATGTGAAGGAATAGGGGAGGGCCAGGGCGTGGTGGGGGTGGAGGAGCATGTTACCATGACAGGCTAGGTTGTCAAATTACCGATTTCCCAGAAGTATCAAGGGGCAAAAAGCAGGAAATGTGGGTTGCTGCCCATCTTTTTCTGGGCTTGTGCCTCACCTCCACGTGGCCACTCTGATTGCAGTCTAGGGCAACGGTTAGGAGCACAGGTCTGGGCTAGCTCGGGATTCGAAACCTGGCTGTGTGGCTTCCAGGCTGTGTGGCTTTGAACAGGTCACTTAACCTCTCTGAGCCATAGTGTCCCCCCCCTGAGAAATGGAGATGATAACAGTGCCTCCTCACAGAGCCCGACCCAGGGGAGCACCAACAGAGGTCTGGCTCACACACACGCTCAGCAGAGTTGGCGTCAATGTGCTGCCTTGATGGGGGGCCCGTCCCAGCTCAACACTTGCTCAGGAGTGGGAAGAATAGTAAGGACACAACTCGAGCCTCGGGCTGTGGGTTCGAGGGCATGGCTGTAAGACGGGACATGTGTCCTAACTGCCCTGAGGCAGTGGGGAAGGTTCAGGGGCACAGAGTCTGACTCATGGGGCCCTTGATCATGGTCAAGCCTCTAACACCTTCAAGGCTGGGTGCCGGGGGCCAGACCTACCTCAGGGCTGGGGGGTATGAGGCAGAGAAGCCCCATGTAAACGTTGTTGGTGGAGACCTGGAAGCTGGTATTGAAGGAGTTCAGCTCGTGCATGCTGGCCGAGGTGGTCTGGGGGCAGATGTCCACTGTCCCGTGGAGAGGCGACACGGTGATGGTGTTGGGGCAGTCCGCCAATGGCAAGTTGTTGCTCAGAGCCCCATCCAAGTAGCGCTGCAATGCAGGTGGGCGGTGCTCGGATCCCTGCCCTCCTGCCTCACCACCGTGGCCAAAGAGCCACCGGCCAGAGAGGGGCTGCAGCCGGTGGCCCTGTGACTGCCCCTGAGTCACTAGGTCTGCTCTAGCTCAGATTGCTCTGAGCACCCCAGGGTGCTGGCACACAGTAGGTGCTCAAGGAGCGCTGGTGCCCTCCATCCACCCACACACCTCTCAACAGCAGGTGCTCAGGGCAGGGCGTCGGCCACTTACCTCCCCTCTGAATTCGGGGGGGATTATCCCGCAGTAGAAAGGGACGTATAGGGAGCAGATCACGGCCTGGAAAAACAAGAGTCAGCAGAACACAGTTGTTCAGGCTCCTCGTGCTCAAAACCTGCTTTGAGCACAACAGGGTCCAATCCCAGGGTGGCCGGCGAGGTGGGGGTTATTCCTCCTGTGTCCAGGGGACGGATCTGAAGCCCTGGGAGGCTTTGTAAGGGTAAGAAGGGACTTCAATGCAAGCCCATCTCGACACCCGCCTGCCTTCCTCTCCTTGCTGAGCCTCGTGTCCTTGCTGACGGGACCCTTGCTAACTCAGGATTGCTGCTCAGATGTCTTCCCCCCAAGGCGAGTGGAGGCACCAAGTGCTACTTCTTGTTCACTAGTCTGGCAGAAATTCCCCGCCAAGAATCTAGGGGTGCCTCCCAACGTGCGTTCCTTGGACACTGATCCAACCAGATGCACCTCAAACAAGATACCTTGACTTCTCTATCTGCTTGGAAAACACGGTCTACTTTTCCCAGGAGAGACTCTGTCAAGTCCTGCAGTAAAAGAGACCTTATCACAGGCCCCAATGCTATTGGTATTTAGGGCTGGACAATTCTCTGTTGTGAGGAGGAGGGATGGGTACTGTCCTTTGCATTGAAGAATGTTTAGCAGCGTCCCTTATCGCTACTCACCAGATGCTAGTGCTATACTCACACACACACAGTTGTGACAGCCAAAAATGTCTCCAGCATTGCCAAATGGCTCCAAGGGGGAAATCACCCCAGTTGAGAACCACCAACCCAGAACTTCCCAACACCTAGAGCATAGAGCCTGTCTCACAGAACTCTTGGAGGTCCCCTCCCCGCCAGTCCTCTCTGGGAAATGCACACCTTTCCTGTCTCTGACCAGATGGAGAGGCAGGTGAGCACCTCGCTCCCCTAGATGAATAATGAGTGACAGCAGCTAATGTTTAGTGAGGACCTATTGTGTGCCAGGCCCTGTACTATGTGCCATATAGGCAGAGATGCTGGAACACACGTTGGGGTCCCCAGCTGGCTTCCTCGGGAGACCGTGGACATCAGCCCGCAGCAAGGGACTGGCCCCTCTCTGCACACACTAAGAATTGCCATCAGCACGGACTCAGAGACAGGCCCCGTGCTAGGTGCTGGGAGCACCAAGAGGAAACAGGTTCTGCATTACGGAATCCCAGTCTGAGTGGACAGTGAGACCCTGATGGAGAGGGTGGGCAGAGCCTCGATAGGAGAAGCACAGGTTTCCTAACTGAGGCCTTATAGGGGAGAGGCCTGACTCCCTACCTGTCTGAGCTCACCCAGGGACCCTCCTAGCCACCCCCACCTCCTGTCCCTGCACTCTTTCCCTGACCACATGGCTCTCTGTGATATCCTCCTGTTTTATTTCAATACTGGATTGCTTATTCATTCATTGATCTGTAGCTCACACATGTCAGACCAGAAGCCCCAAGACACCGCAGAGTGGAAGTCTCTGTACTCACCTTGCCGTCGGTGTTTGCACCTTGGCTCTCGCATTTGTGAACAAACTGAGGAGCTGCAAGTTCACCACCCCACCCCCACTCACCCACCCTGCCCTGCAGAAGTGTCTGCCCCTGGGAAGTGCCTGGAAGTCACTCTGGTAAGAGATGGAGCCCACTTACCTGCCACCACGCCCTGGGACCCACCAGCCGCTCACCTGGATGACCTCATCGCGGGAGGAGAAATCCGTGACCATGACATTGCGGCCATCAGGCCAGTGGGTCAGTGAGACGCCCAGCCGCTGGGAGGCCAAGAGGTGAATGTTGGCGGGCAGAAAGGCTTGCAGCTTCTGCTTGATGTGCTCGATGGGCCCAAAGGCGGGGTGGAAGACGCCCAGGCTCAGCTGTTCCACCTGCTTGACCAGGACCATGAGCTGGGAGCAGGGGAAGTCTGCAGGCATGGGGACAGGGTGCTAAGCCACTGGGGGTCCTGCCACACCCGCTGGGAGGCTTGACCTCCCTCCTGCGTGCCATGGGAGTGGAGGGTCCTTGGCGCTCCAGCTCAGTTCTGTGCCCAGCACTGTGTGCAAATGCTCTGCCCACCTTTTGCCCCCGAGTGACCTTGGGAACAGTCTTCCCAGCTCTGAGCCTCGGATCCCTCTTCTGTGGAATAGGAGTTCCGAGTCCCCAGGGTTCCCATCAGGAATAAACAAGAGCGAGCATGCTGGGTGGAAAGACCCCTGGGCACAGCACAGGCACGAGGCCCTGGGACACCCCTCTCCCTCCGCGCCCACCCCTCCGCTCGGAATCCGCTTGCGAGTTCCTCAGCCCTCCTCGCCCCCGCTGTCCCCAGACGCACCAACTGATTCGCCCATGACGATGCAGAGGGCGTTGAGCGATCCAGACGAGGAGCCGTAGAACCGGCGGGCGCCCTGGAGGAGGCGCGGGGCGCGCTCCCTCAGGCAGTGGGTGACGCCGACGTAGTAGAGGCCCATGAAGCCAGCGCCGGCAAAGGACATGTTCCAGCTGCCCTCCTCCCCGAAGCAGCGCATGGCGGGGGGGCCGGGATGGTTACAGAGCCGGAATGGGGCTGGCAAGGCTCAGTGGCGGATGCGGCCCGGAGGGAGCGCGGGACGTGGAAGCCGCACCGGTCGAATGTGGAGCGGGAGGCGCGGCGCACAGGTGTAGCTCCCGCGGGAGCCCAGGCCCCGCCCCTGGTGCCCCGGTCCCGCCTCCAGGGCTGCGTTACCCGCCGCCCCTAAAATGAGGTCTCCGGGCTATGGCCTCCCTCCCCTCCAGGCGAGCACCAGGTGTGCCCCAGAAGTGCGGACAGGCTGTGAGTGTCCTGACGCCGCCCCCACACACCTGTCCTGGTTCCGGTTCATGCCCCCAGATTCCTGGGTGACAGGACCCGGGAGAATGGAACCAACCCTTCACCTGATCACTGGGAACCTCGATAGAAACACTTATTCCTGTCTACATTTTACAGATCAGGAAACTGAAAGCAGGGGCCAAAGTGAGAGCAGGGAAGAGGCAGAGCTGGACCCAACACCTGGTCTTTGGTGTCAAACCAGACAATTCTGCAACTCTCCTGGTTCAGGGACCAGCGTCCCGGGAGATCTGGGTTTCCAGGGTGTCGTCACCTCCTGTGGAGGTTGCCCAATCTCCTTATGCTCTTTGGGTTGTGGGTTTCAGCATAACATGGGGACTTACAGAGACCTTTCTGCTCATACCTCTGCACCCCCACACGCAGTGTGGCAGCGGACACCCATACGGTGCAATGTGCTTTCTTTGCAGTCACTTTCACAAAGTGTATGAGTAAGAACCACTGTGCCCATGTTCAGATGGGAACACTGAGCACCAGCAAAGCCAACAAATACCTCCAAGAAAACTTGCCCACAGCCTGTAAACTGGGCAGCAGTTCTGGAAATCAAGCCAGGACAAGTGAAATTAAATACCCCAGAGAAATTCTCTGATGTGTCCACAGGGTGATGTGGGTGGGGGGCAGCATTGCTTGTGGTGGGTGGTAGATGACACCCCCCACTTCCCAGGGATGGGTGAGTAACCACAATGGGCACTCCATGGAATGTCATAGAGCCTTAGAAGTGACAGGCAAAGGAGAATGAGTTCACGCAAACACTCCCAAAGCGTTACCATGTATTGTTAAAACAATATATGAGGGCTGACAATTAAGTTTGTGAACTTGTTGCAACAGTGTTGCTAACCTTTTTTGAAATCAGAGGGATGATTTATTACGAATTTGTACCAACTGGACAGACAGTTCACCAAGTTTACTATTTGAAAGTGCTGAAAAGGCTGCGTGAAAAATTTAGACGACCTGAACTTTTCACCAACAATTCATGGCTCTTGCATCACAACAATGCACCAGCTCACATGGCACTGTCTGTGAGGGAGTTTTTAGCCAGTAAACACATAACTGTATTGGAACACCCTCCCTACTCACCTGATCTGGCCTCCGATGACTTCTTCCTTTACCCAAAGATAAAGGAAATATTGAAAGGAAGACATTTTGATGACATTCAGGACATCGAGGGTAATACGATGACAGCTCTGATGGCCATTCCAGGAAAACAGTTACAAAATGGCTTTGAAGGGTGGACTAGGTGCTGGCATCTTGTGCATAGCTTCACGAAAGGAGTGCTTCGAAGGTGACCATAGTGATATTCAGCAGTGAGGTATGTAGCACTTTTTCTAGGATGAGTTCACGAGCTTAATTGCCTGACCTCGTGTTAACTGTCTGGAAGATGGTTTGGAAGGTCACACCTTACATATATTAGAGTATGGCTCTGGGGAGTGGAAGGCAAGGGAAAGAGAGGTGGGGAGGAAAGGGTAACAGAAAAAATAACATGATGAAGGCCGGCTGATGGCACGTTGGTTCGGAGCTGGCTTGGGATGCCAGAGGGCCCCGGTTTGGATCCGACATATGACAGCCAGTGACACTGCCCTCCACAGCTAAGATGCTGAACAACAGCTCAACCTGGAGCTGGGCTGCAGTGAGTCGCCGGCAACTGCGTAGACTGCAGCCCCTGTGGCAGTGGGTTGCCATGGGCTACCGTGTGTAGCCAGCAGCCAGCGTGAGCGGCCTGCAGCCTCCGTGAGCAGCAGTCCGGAGGCCGGCAACTGATCTGCCTCACCCGGGAAGAGCGCAATGATGGTGCCGACTTGGGCCAGTGAAGCAACGTCCTCCACAACTAGACTGAAGAACAAAAGGACAGCAACTTGTCTGTTCCCCTTCCCCTAATTCCCCAGCGCTGTTCCCATTCCCCAATTCCCCAGCGCTGTTCCCATTCCCCAATTCCCCAATCAAAATCTTTAGAAAAATAAAATAAAATAACATGATGTGCACCTGAGGAGCTCAAAAGCAGGGGAAGGAACACAGTTAGGAGCAGCAGCAGAGCTGGACCCCAGCCCAGATCAGCTGGACTTGAACTGCTGCTCAGGCTCCTTCTGTACCGCCCCCAGATTGAGTAGGAGACAGACCAGTGGGGCAGGCTCTCCTGGACTCCTGGAATTCTCTCCAAGATGCAGAGTACCTGGAGGTCTCTTTCCAAGGAGGTAGGGGCTGGAAACCCAGCAAAGGCTTTATGGGGGGGCCTCTGAAGATTGACAGCACACCTCGGCAAGTATTTACCTCCTACCTGACACTGGGCTCAGCACTTTTCCTAGGTCATCTCATTTCATCTTTGCAATACTGTAAGGCGGACAGTATTGCCAGCCCCATTTTACAGCTGAAGAAACCGAGATGTAAACCAGGAACCCAAGAGAGCGCTGAGCTGGGACTCTGCAGGCCTCCTTGTTACCCTGACAGAAAAAAAGTGTGGCAGGAAGCAGAATTGGAGGAGCTGGGGTGGGAACGACAGAGGGGGCAGGGGCGGCAGAGCTGATGGGTGGGCAGCACGGACTTCTGGGAAAGTCCCAAGTGACTGAGAGCCCCTGTCACTGTACCTGCCTAGTGACTGGTCCATGCCCACCCAGCACCCGCTGAATGAGCTGCAGGGGTGCTTCCAGAGCAGGGCCCAGGCAAAGCGAGGCCCCTACAGGGTCCTCATGCTGGCCTCCCATTAGGAGCCCAGTCCTCTTTCCACTTCCCTCCCTGGAGGAGGCAGCCCTCCCCCAGCCCACCCCCAGCTCCTGACTCACCTGCCCCATCTCACCTATAGCAATACCCCGCCCCCCACCTGCCTACCCCCTCCTAGTGCTAGGCTAGAAAGTGAGTGTCACAGGGGCTCCCTAGCGGATGCCCTCGCTCACCAGACCCTCTCCTATGACCTCCTCAAACATTTCACCACTCCTCCCCTGGCACCTGGCAGGCCCAGGCCCCAACACCTCTCACCCCATCACCTGCTGCCACCTCCAACTGCCTTCCCAGCCCTGCCCCTCCCATACACACTGCAAGGTGGCTTCCAGCTCACCTGCTCACGCAGGGGTAAACCCCCAACTCTTCCAAGACCAAACTCCCCTGAATGCTTCCAGGTCCCTCCACAAAGGGTGAACCCACCTTGTTGGGAGTGTGGGGGGGACTCCTGCTGTTGTCACTCTGGGCCTTGGAGCAGAGGAGCTGACTGGAGCCTGGGGCAGGCATGCCTGAGCTGGGTCCCGACTCACCCCTCCCAGGCTGGGCTTCCTTAAGGCCAGTCCCTTCCCCTGTCGAGCCTGTGTCTCACCGCCATGGTTGTGGCTATCTCCTATCTACCTCACTGCCAGCAGACAAAAGGCCTTCCAAATTATCAGAAGAAACGCACACGTACAAAGCAAAGAACAACTCAGATTATACAGGGAAAGATTTAAAAAAAAAAGCGATGCAAGAAAGAACCAATTCTATCAGACAGACCAACCAATCTGAAAGGGACTGACCTTGGCACAGACATGCCATTGAAAATATTCTCCATCAGTTGAAATAGGGGACAGGTCCATCCATAGGCACCCACAAGGGCCACTCCTGAGAGAGAGAGAGAGAGAGAGAGAGAGAGAGTGCCCACATACCACAGTGTGGTAAGACTCGACCACTGGATGATGTTTTTAAAAGAAGGATTACACGGAATGCAAACACATGAGAACATAGGGCAGAATGTCTCTGGAAAGATCCACAGGAACTATAACCCTGGTGCTCCTGAGGAGCAGAGATGGACGGGCTTCTCGGAGAGAGGCCTACATTCACTCTGGACCCTTTGTTTAAAAGGCCTAACGAGCAGGATGAAGTGGCGTGTGTACACAGAACCCTGCTCCCTAATCTGCACCCAGAGAGCTCCACAAGCACACGCACGTGGCTCATGGCTGCCACCGGGTGACAGTCCATGCAGTCCGTGGTACCCCTCTCTCCACTTGGGTCTCTCTCTGTGTCAAAGTTTCCATAATAAGTTCCCTCCAGACGTGTCTTGTGTGCAGCAAATACCTTATTGTTTACCCAGTGAATCTCGCTGTAGTCACTGCCCTGGGCTTGGACTCTGCGTTTCTTGGGTCCTTCGTCTGTCCCTCCGCTCCGCTCAGGAGCCAAGCGCCTTGGGAAAAAATGGGTCGACAGCATCTTCACTTCAGAGACCGGTGGTCATGCCATCCTGCACTGACTTACCTGGTTTGCTGGTAGGTAACCTTGGGCTGTCTCCAGATGGGCCCCAGCCTGGGGTAATCAGAGGCTACAGCTGACTCTGACCCCTGGGAAAGGATCCGACCACATCAGATGAAGCTCAGGACCATCTGACCCCACAGGAATGGCTGTGCCGGACCTCAGAGAGGCTCGGCCTGAGACCCTGAGGAACCCCGAGAACCTCAAAGGACCCAGTTTCTTCTCAAGTTCCCTTATCATCACTCCAGTGGTCATCCAGCCTTGCCTGAATGCCTCTGTTGACGGGGAACTTCCTGCTTGTGAGGGAGCCCTCTTTCCCATGAAACAGGTCTGACTTTAGAATTTACCTTCTGGTACCTTCCACTGCTGGTTCCAGCTCAGCCTCCTGAGGCCCCAGAACAGACTTGCTCCCTCTGCCTGGGGAAGCCTTGCAGAGACAATTACCCAGGACTTCACAAACAGGTCCTT